GTGCGCCCCCCTGTCTGTTCTGCGGCCCTGGGGACACACAGCCACAAGGACCCGGGGTGCAGCCCTATGCCACAGGGCCTGGCCAGGCCTGGCCAGCTCTCCTTGTTCCCTTGGAAGATGCGAGGAAGACCGGGCTTGAGCAGCCCAGCCACCCTTGGAGCACCAGCCTGATTTTCCCTCTCCTGCCCCTGCCCCAGGGTGTGGGAGCAGCTGGGCTCCTGCAGCCTCCCTGGTTTTCTCAGCTCAGCATGACCGGGACCCCCAAGGCCTTCCCTGTGCCGAGGATGGTGCTGCTGGTTCCTTGGGGCCAGGACACCCAGACCTGTGGGGAGCCCTGCTATGGCAGCGTGTCCCTCAACAGGGCACAAGGCTTGTCACCTGCTGTGCCAGCCCTCTCTGCTGCTAGCAGCTCCCATCCTGGATGATGGCAGTTTGGACATGTCACCCCCCATCAAGTGCCCAGCCCTGGGATAAGTGAGAACATGGCACAAGCAGAGTGACAGTCCCAGGCACTCACACCATACGGAGGCAGGGAAGGTTGCGCCAGAGCTTGGGGCTCCCAGGACTCAGGGCATGGTCACCCTTGTGCCACAGATGGTGTGTAACCATTGCCACGCAGGTGGCAAACACCCATCAGAAGGCGGGCAGGGACCGCAGGCAGGCAGGGACTCCCAAGGAGCAGGGAAACCCCAAAAGCCAAGCAGCAGCACGTTCAGTGTCCCTCCAAAGAGCGGCAAAGCAGCAGACAGGCAGGTCCTTTATAAGTCCCGAGGACTTGCTCCTTCGGCAGGGACCGCAGTCGCTGCTCGCAACACTGTTGCGGTTTTCCCGCCACGGCTCCTGCTGGGGCTGGTGCTGCTCATGGAGCCCGAGTTGCTGTTTCGTGGCAGAGGAGGCAGGCAGGCAGGAGAGGGTTTCAGTGCCTGACGGAGCAGCCATTTTAGATCAGTGATGACTGCTGACCTAAGGGACATCCTGTGTTGGCGGGAGGAACAGTCGGGTCCCTCACAACCTGCCTCCAGGTGGGCTCGTGGGCAGGCCCAGACAAACACCCCGATGCATTTTCACAGCCCTTCTCTGCCAAGCTGCTCTGTCCCAGAGGAGAAGCTGCGAGCAGCCGGCAGAGCTGAGCTGGCACGAGCTGCGCACGCTGCACCGCGTGAGGAAGGGGGTGGTCAGTGAGGATCCCGAGCCCTGGCAGAACACAGACGTGCAGCCACCAGAAAACCAGCAGCACGCCCGGGCAGGTCTCTGAGCCTGCTGTGTCCTGCTCCCGGGGGACAAGCCCTTCTCCCCTTCCCTCCTGCAGGCCCTGCTCCCTGCCCAGAGGCAAGCAGGAAGAGAACACCTGCAAACTGCCCCTCAAGTGGAGCAGGTGCCAGTAAGTCCAGCTGTTAACAGTGTCTTCTAGATAGGAACAGGAAAGTGAATCCAATGGCCATGGGCCTATGCATAGCCTCGAGTTTCTTCTTTCAAAAGTCCCCCAAACTCTTGCTGTTCTTTTTTCACAACAGCCCTTCCGCCAGCACCATGCAGGGGTGCTGCCTGACTCCAGCCCGGCCGCCATCAGCCCTGCAGGCTCCATGGGGAGGAACCTGCAGGTCGGAGGCCACGCTCTGCAAGGGTCCCAGCTGCTCCTCATCCGCACCCGTCCCTTAGGAACAGCGGCAGCACCATCAGAAGCCAGGGGAGGCGGCAGCAGCAGGTCCCTCCTCTGGCTGTGGCACCTGTCCAGAACTATTGATGGATGCTGATCAGACTAACATCCTTGGGGTTGATTTGCTGTCTGGCAGGACATGAAAACCTTGCTGTGGTGCAAACTGGAGTTTTGCCAGGAAGGACTGAAGATCATGGACAGATCAAGGCGTGATGTGGGCTGAGAAGAGCACGATTAAACAGGAAAAAGAAAAAAGGGAGAATCTGAAAATTATTCTGCACTTCCATTATAGAGTGATAAAATGGTCCCCTCCCCATCTTTGTCTTGATTTACGAGTGTTTAGTTGGATTTTCTCCTCCTCACCCCACAGCAGGGGAGGAGCGAGTGAGTGGATGTGGTTCTGAACCGTCTGCAACCTGCAGAGCTGCAGCAGGTCCCAAATAATTCTGGGCATCTGTAGTCACATACTTTGAATTCCACTCCAATAGGAGCAGATTCATCAATGTAACTGCCTGCATGGCTAAAGTGCTGAGCAAAGGGCCAGTGACCACAGTTCCTTGCTGACATAGGAGTTTTCCTAGTGACCTGGAAGCAAGCTAATTGGGAATGGCAGTGAACAGTACTCTTCTGGATGCACAGCAATAGAAACAGTCATCAGGTGCCCAAGGGTAGCTGAACTGCCATGTGTGGGAATACAAGTTGACTACCCAAATCGTTATTGAAGGCTTTTATGAGAGAATGATGCTGTCCTCACCCACATGCAAACAAAACAATCAGACCACATTCATATATTAATTTTTATTTTCCCAGATATTATTCACAGGCTCTGCTTTTTGTCTTATTCAAACTGAACTTTTTTTTTCCCCCCTTGAACAAGAACTGACATTTCAGGACATTAAAAGAAGTTGTGTAAACACGAAACATTCAAAGAACAGCTGAAACACAGGGCCTTTAGTAATTAAAAACACAGTTATATCCCCTTGAACGCAGGGTGTTTACTTGTGTATCGCACCAGTAACCAAACTGTTCTTTTTGTGTATTAAAAAGATACAGTTTTCACCCAAAGTCACAATGCACTTCTTCACCAGCTGCGTGTTAGCATGTGTTTTATTATATCCTATTCAGTCATTTACTTTAAAAACTATATACAGCTATTTTTAAACGTGTATTTGTGCCACACTTTTAATAACACAAAAATAAAGGCATTTTTAAGCTATTGCTGCAGGTTATGCAGCAGGATACCAGAGGATACCAGGTTTGGATACCTAACTTCAATGCTAAAGTCAAATCCACTAAACCTCTGCAGTGGGAGTAATATTGAGCTGAACAGTCCCACTTCACACATACAAATATTATGGAATAATAAAGAGACATGCATATGATGGCCACCCATTCATCTATTTTATCCCACCGTTTACCAATTTTGATAGCATACAGAACTTTGGAAAAAACCCAATGTGTTTTACGTTTCCAAACAAATACTTCTGTTGTGATTAAAGCTACACAAGTGATATTCAAGAAGATAATAGTAGACACTATCAAAATTAAATCGCTTTTGCATCTGACACTTGCACCCAGTGTACCACTTGCTTCATTACTGTTTGCAATGCAACACAAAAAGTACTGAGCATCAGTTGCTGACACAGAAGAACAAAGCATCGAGGTACAATCAAGCATATTGTGTGCAAGCACAGATTTGCAGCCTAAGAAGAAAGCACTAGCTCTTTTGTTTTCTGATTTTTATGCATCTAACTACTTCTGGGAAGCCTGCATCCCAAAAAAAGGACTGCAGTATTTAAAATTCAGCAAAGGACAGAAAAACCTTACATAAAATTCTGAATTTTTGCATACATTAGGGTTTTTAATACCTGCTACCTTCTAAATAATTTGAGCTGTTTGAGGTTTTTCTTCAGTTTCCAAAGGAGCAGTCACTCGGTTCACAACAGACAGTTGGGTGTACTTTTGTTTGTATTTTTCACCCATCACAAGACTTTAAAATTAAGTAATCTTAGATGAATTTTTTCAGACTGCTCCAGTGTCACCTATACATGCAGTATCAACTTTTTGCAAGAAATAACACAAGCAATTACTAAGGGTTTAGCATCCTTTCTCTGCTTGCTAAGAACTTGTTTAAGAAGTATCATTTGAATTAGCCAGTAAGAAATGACAAATTTTCTCAGTTTAGCTTGTGTGCACTTAAGAATTGGTCAGTCTACTTATTCCTCCAGAACTATTTGAAGCAGTTTAGCCTTATTATGACCAGCTCAGTTCAAGCCACCCATAGGTACATACATTTACTCCCTTCCACATCCAAGTAAAACAAGACATGACACTACATAAGCTACAGAAGACATGAGAACTGGAAACAATGGAACTAAAACTACTGTAGGATAACCTCAAATATTTAAAATATTTTCAGACTGCTAGCAAAAAAGAGTGGCAGTTAGGTGCACGAGACCATCAAGAATTAATGCACCACACACAGGAAAGTAGAATTTACAGCACTGGTGCAATGCAGTGTCAGTATCAAATTTGCCTCTTCACAGGAAAACAATTTATTAGCTCTGGATGTGCCTGACAAAATATAACCTCGTTCAGTGCAGGTGCTGTGCTGCTGGAGAAATCAGGCTACTTCCCATCTTAAATCCAAGAAGCAGCAGCATCATGTATGAATATGGGAACTGTACAGTTTCAGTGACAAAGCTGCAAAATTCCCTAGTTTATTGCATGTTCTTTAAAACAAACTTGGAGATTTGGGTTTTTGAATACAGAAAGTGGAATTCCTGAGTAGTCTCAGCCTACTGTCTGTTCAGTAAAATAAGCCTTGTAAGAGATGACATGCATTTATTTTAACATAGAAGAGTGAGTGTATGTTGAAGCAAGCATACTCAAGTATAAAGTTTAGCAGGTTTTTAAGGCAGAGACTTACCACGCTGACAGAGAATTTGCACCATGATGTGGTGCCAGGCTTACAACAATTTTACAAATATGTAAGGCCTATCAATGGGGTATCATTTTTCAACAGGAAATCAAAACAGTGTACTACAGTTAATCACATTTGCCTTTTTATAATAGAATACATTCACCCTGAAAGTTAAAATAAAATCAAATTTTCATGTACATTGGCTCTCACATCAGACACTAGACTGTTGGGTTATTTAAAAATATTACACTGCAGATGGCCAATCTTGCTGATAAAAATCAAACTTATTTTGGATTAGCCTAAGTAGAAATGAAGAGAGGCTGGTCTCTGCTAGATATTCAATACAGGAATCAGAAAAAAAATGAAGTTGCGAAGTATTTTTAAAATATATCACATCACGTGTCCCTTTCACAACATTTTGCATCTATTTTGTTATTTTTAAGGGATGAGGGATAGACACGTTTGAACATTGCATATCTTCAGATCCTTTGTACCTGCCATTAATTGGAGAACAGTAATTTTTACAGATTGATAGCACACAATGACCTGAAGCACTACCACTACCAGTTATGACCCAACACGGGTTGTCGTGGTTCTTTTATCCGAGAAAAAGCTTTTGAGGAGAAATACCTGCCCAACACTAACCACAAGAAGAATGATTGCTTCCCCTATTGACCAGTAGGCCACCCTTGTGTTTAAATCCTCTGCTCTGCTGCGGCCCTGCGCCTCCCTCAGGCGGAAGTGAGTCTGGTAGTCGATGACAGACTTCAGAGCTTCATGGATTGAAACACATGCAGACTCCATCTAGAGAAGCAAACACACCACTGAATTAAGAACCTTTCTAGTGCTTTTTATGTGAAGCTTTGTACTTTGATATTTAAAACTAGGCTGCATGTAACTTTGCAGGCTAAGGATTAACTCAGCCCGTTGTCAGACTGAAACTGAAAATGCAGTAAAATTAACTTAATTGATCAAACTCTATACACAGGAATGTGACAGAATATTCAATACAGAAGTGGGCAATACTGCAGATTTAATAAAAAGCAACAAGCTCTAAGACCAACTAAACAAATCTTAAATTCCTTTATATTCTGGTTCAAAATGAACACGAGAAACACTTTTGTAATGCCAGTGTTCCCCCAGTTAAGTCCATACATACCAGGAAAGCAAACAATGGTTTGTAGCCTTAAGGTACACACACAAGATGTATTAAATGCTTCCATGTTTCACAAGCATGACATCCATTGTGCAGTTCTCACTCAAGTTGTACAACATCCTAAAAATGCTGCATTACTGAACTCAACATGGTCTTCTGGAAAGAGACTCCTCTTCTAGTCACATATGAAAAAAGTGCTTAGA